GCCCCGTTTCTTTCTGAAGCGCCTTTTGATTACCTTTGGGATTGATGAAGCTTGGGTTACGCAATGGATTGCATTGCTCGATTCGATCAGTCTGCCGAGGACGTCTATATGCGGTATCCCAGAGGGCATGGCACCAACCACAAGGTCGCAATCCTCACTTATCAGGGTGGTGTGTGTGACCCGAAGATACAGATTGTGCTCCGTGCCATCCGGGCAGCACGTCGGGCCGATGGGAAATTCCCGGAGCAGTATGATGCTTTCATACCTTTGATGTGTGCAAACAAGGGAGACTGTCGCAAGGCATGGGGACCGGCCGGCTCCCTCGCCTCCTACCTCTACTCCCTTGACATCAATTTTGATGTTCATGGCTTTCTTACTCTTGCTGAGCAGGATGCACAAGTACATCTCTTCCGAAGCGGATTTACTGCGGTCAGGAATTTCATTTTACAGGCCTGGTCAACCATTGTCCAGAAAGACATTGCCAAGCGCAAACATTTGCATGACGCCCCTGCAGTCGACTCAGAGCTTACTGGCCACTATATCGACAAGCTTGCGGCAAATGAGGCCCGTACCATCCGAACCTTCCTGTCAGGGGGTTTCCCTACAGATGAAAGTGCACGGCACTGGGCCAACACCGATGAACATTGTAGATTGTGTGGGGACGTAGACACTCTTGCGCACTGTTTGCAGACTTGCGGAGCCACCACGGATGCTCGCCAACGACATCCAGTGCTCAGCGATGTTGACCAAGTCAGAGCAGAGGCTCCCTGGGCTAGATCCTCGATTGCAGGCAGCTCTGCTCCATCACTTGCACTGCCTTGCATCTCTACCACTTTTGATGACAGTCTACATGGCAGAATCATCTATACAGATGGAACATGCGATCACCCTAAAAACATCCAGATTGCACAGGCGGCCTGGTCCAACGTCGCAGACCCCGTTCCGGGCACATCCGGGTCATTTCTGATTGCAAAGGTGCTATCGATCTTGCTCAAGCTCTTCTTGCAGGACGGGGTATCCATCACTATGCGAACCACCCCAACTTTGACATCGTGTATCTTTTGGACCAGGCGATCCATAAGTGGCCAGTCGAGGAGCGGGATATTCATCTCGATAAGATCAAGAGTCACCAACAAGGCCCTTTTTCCCTTGATGATCGCAAGGTTGCAGGAAATGAGGCTGCCGATCTTGCTGCCAGAAATGTCCTTGCAGAAACTCCACCAGATCTTTGGTCTCTAGTACGTGATGCAAGAGCACTCCGGACTCATGAAAAGATTCTCATTCCTGCGCTTCTTTCAGGTGCCACTGATGCAGTTGTCATGTATCTTCAGGCGCTCCGAAGGCTTAGCTCTACACAGAGGTCCATACGGGAGCGCCCAACCCAACGACCCAACCCCTGTTTCCAGCTCCCGGTTGAAAGGGCTTGCTGGGGGACCATGTTCACGCTTGCAGCGATGAGGTGGTTGCAGCATCTCAAGTGGCCACAGGACGGATGTGCTGCTGGTCAGGTCACGTGGATTGAGCTGCTTCTTTCCTTTAAGGAACAGACAGGCCTCACTATCCCTGCACCGCATCCAACCGTACACGGAGTGTACCGCAGCCCAGGTGTGCGCCGGGTCCTTCACTACGAGGAGAAGACCTTGGGTTCAGAATCTTGGTCCTTCAATAACTTCATGCGATCCTTGCGTACCATCACAGGGCAAGAAGTCATGCCTTGGCATAGGGCAACCAAGGCGATTGGCATGACGCCATGTTTGGTGTTGCGGTACACGATTCAATGGTCGGCCCATCTTCCCCTGTGAGAACAAGGTCAGAGAGCTCCTGGACGCTTATTTCACGAAGCAGTCTGGTAGGGCCCACACTTGCTTCATCCTGCGGCAACCGCGGATCTCTCCCACTGTCGAGCAGGAAGATCTGACCCTGCCACCCGCTACCATTACATGCGTTACATTAAGTCACGGAGTAAACAGAGAACTCAAGTCCAGTGCCTTGTCTAGGCACCGCGACCTTGCTGCTGACATCGCTTCCGTCTTACATATGCAATGCTTGTTTTGTGTGGGCTAAGTCCTCTGTGGGAGGTGAGTTCCCCGCCTGAATGCTTTGTACTCAGCTTACATACCTTTCCCTGCTAGTGCATCTTGGGTAGTGTCATATCGCTTATGTGTGCAGGCTAAGTCCCCTTCGTGGGGTGAGTTCTACTACTCGTACCTTCGCTTTGCTCCTTGAAGTGGATGCAGCCCTTTGCGAATTTCATGATCCATGTGGCTTGGATGGGGGGCCCTCCCCACCTGCCTCCCTCGCTTCGTGATGCTGCATTTCGCTGCTTACGCCTTCAAGATCCGGATATGGGCTCCCGGCCCTGGAATTCGGTGCCTTACCTTGGAGTTTCGGTTTCACACCCTCTTCATGAGTGCATGTGCTGACACCTTGGTCTGTTATCGGCATTTTGCTGCGACCTTGGATGTGTCTTTGATGTTCCAATGCCACTAGGAGATCTGTACAGCTTCCTGCTGTGCAGTTCGATCTTTTCTATTTCTTTTCCCCTCATCCCAAGGTGGATGAGGGCAGATGGTGGTTCAGTGGTTCGCCTAGGCCGGCCACTGCGCCCGGACGCTAGGTGTGCTAGGTCGGCTGCGTGTGGAAAAGCTTGATCTTCCCCATGATCGCGTTTGCTTTACTAGGGCAGCCCAAACCCTAAGTCTTGACGCGCAGGTAGCAGCAGTAGAGCAGGCGGTAGGCCAGCTGGGCCCCCCGTCTCGGGCAGCGGGCTTCTCTTCCGTTTCCCAGCCAGGGCGGCTGTAATGCAAGCGCCCCGCCATTTACCAGTCTTGCAGTGGCAGCCCAGGCCACCCAGGGCACCCTGGACCTTTCTGACAGTCCATGACCGCGTAGCTTTTCAGGCCGGCGCCGCTGAGCGGACATGTCGCGCACAGCCGTCCTTTTTCCTTTTGCGCAATTCAGTGGGCATGCTTTCGCTTCGCTTGTGCAGCTTGCTTGCCTTTGGCACGTGTTGACTCGGTGGAGTGACGCTCAGCATTGCAACAAGTTGCAGGCAGACATTGATGATTCAGGTGTGACATGTTTTCTACATGGTACAGCTACGGTGCACGAGACTTGCAGGGCATTGCGTCTTCGGCACGTGTTCTTGCCGCTCAATGGTTGCAAGTGCGGACTGAGTTGGGAATTTCAGATTCGATTAAACTCCCACTTATGCCAGCGCCTGGTCCCGATGATAATGCTACGGCGAGACCAATCTCCACTTCGCAGGCGGGTGCGTGGGTTATGATGCTGCTGAGCAAGTGTGGAGATTTGGGAGGCGTAGTTTACACTTGGGTATCACACTCAAGGCCTCAAAATGGCATTGACTTATAGCAGAGATGCAGCAAGCCGACCTTTTCAAATTCTTTGTGGTGTCTTGCGCGAGGTACGGAAAGGAGTTTTCTGTCCGGACAACACTAGGAGTGGTCGCCTTGCCCAGGACGGAGCATCTCCGTGAAGGAGAGCGAAGGCGAGGAAGCTTGTGACAGTGCAAGAGAGTGAGAGTGTGAAGCTGTGGACGACTTGCTGCCTCCCAGCTACTCCTTGGGACACCGATGTCTCATTGAGTAGCAACGATGATGTTTTGAGTGTGGCTAAGGTAGCCGTGAAAGAACTTCACGTTTTCGCAGGAAAAGTGCTTTGGGCTCACATGAGATTGAAGACGCTTCATTTAGCTTTTGAAGGCGTTCCTTTGTGGCCGCAAGATTTCCTAACAACGGTTCGACGTCTCGAGATGTCGCCAATGTTTCAACAGCAAGATGGCTGAGCTGGACATTTGAGTCACTGAGTGATTTGTAACTTGCTCTTCCTTCTTCCTTCTTCCTTCTTTTCTCCTTTTCTCTCCTTGTCTTCTGCTTCTTTTCTTTGCTTTTCTTTTTCTCCTTTCTCCTCTCCCCGGGCGGGCTGCGGCGGCCTAAATACGCATCTCGCTCGCTTTGTCTTCTTTTCTCTCCTTCTTCTTCTCTTTCCCTTTCTTTCCTTTCTCCTTCCCCCGGGCGGGCTGCGCTAAATACGCATCCGCCCCCCCCCCCCCTCTTTTTTCTCTTCTTGTTCTCTCTTTCTCGCGCTCTCCCTTTCTTTCTTTCTTTCCCTCTTTTCTCCTCCCTCTTTTCCAACTACTTCCTGTTGTTCCTCTTCGCCCGTTTTGGGGATGGCGTGTTCGTGGTGTCGTTCTCCAACTTCGCGGTGCTCTTCTTCTACCAGGTTTGGGAGGGTTTCCCTCGGCGGTGACGTTCCCCTTTTTTTTCGTGTTTCTTGGTTGGGTTTTGCCCGCGGAGATTCAACGTGGGGCCTTTCTGTTTCCTTGGTTTTCCTGCTCTGTTTGTTTTCTGTTGGGGTCTTCGCCCGGTTTTGGGGCGCGTGTTTCACCCCCCCCCCCGAAAAAGTGGTTCTCGCCCTCTTTGAGGCGCGTGTGCGTGCAGAGTGGCAGAATACCCTGCCACCAAACCTTTTTCTGCAGCAGGGGGACGTGGCGTGCAATCAGGAACCACGTCCAACGTGAGTGCACGGGAAGCAGAGCCTGATCAGCTCTGTGTACCTGCGAGTGATACAATGTCCTTTTGGCCCGCTGTTTCTCTCGCTGTTAGTGCTTCTTGTTGCTTCTGTGGCATTTTCGATTCTACCGGAAAGCCAAGCGTCTTGCGAGCCGAAACTCATCGTACTCGAGACTTATCAGTTGTACTCGAGACTCATCCGTTGTGCTCGAGACTCATCAGTTGTACTCGAATGATTAGCACCCTCCCTTGGGGGTTGACGTGTGTGGTGTGTTCGATTGGCATAGGAAGCGCGTGGCGGGGCAGCCAAGGAATCCTATCACGATAGTATGTGTTGAGGCATGGTTTGTGTGGATGTACTTCACATGAATCAGCAACCGTGTTGCCAGACGCGCGTGTTGTGCGCCTGCATGTTCGATGCTGGACCATGCTAGCACCGACTTGGCCCGGCTCAAAGATCCCATTCCGACGATCAGCTCGATCAGCCCAACCTTTCGATCCTTGCGATCCTTTCGGCCCTTGCCATGTCCCTGGACTTCGCAGCGGTGGAAGCCGGCAGCTCTTCGGATCATGAGATCGTGCGCCCCAGCGTGCCTCGTGTGAAGAAGGTCGCTGCCGGCATTGCTGTCTTTGCCGCCGTCGCGGCCCTCACAGCCCTCGCGTCCGTGCATTCTCCACGGAAGTGCACCAACTTGGGAGCGCTGCAAGGCAAGGTCGAGGTGGATGTGAATGAGGCAATGCTGGCAAACAGCAAGGAGCTCACGGCTGTAAAGGACCAATCCAAGGCAGACGAAATCGTTCTGGGCGCCATGAAGAAGGGTGGCTTGGTCGTGAGTCTTGATGGTTTTCGCGCATGGTTGCCTTGGCATTTATTGTTGATACGTAGATGTGTGTACTTGCTTCCAGTTAATGCAAAGTGCCACCCGTCATGGTTTGGGCTGTGCTGAGATGGTGGATGGTGAATGTGTTGGCTGAGGTGGCAAGGAGGCAGAGGAGCATTGGGAGAAGCATCACATCCGCAAGCTGGACACCTATGGCACTGTCAAAGCAGTCATTTGGCTGTATTCTGGTGTGTGCCCAGCTGGTCTTAGCTTTGCAGGCGTCAATGTCTCTCTCTCTCTCTCTCTCTCTCTCTCTCTCTCTCTCTCTCTCTCTCTCTCTCTCTCTCTCTCTCTCTCTCTCGTGTACGACAAGTGGTGTCACGAGCCCTTGGCTAGTCTGCTGTCAGGCTCAAGGCCTTGAAAGGAGAAATGGCAGTGGAGTCACGTAGTGACTAGACTGTACGTGTTGTGACTCAACACTGAAGTGGTTGGGTTTGCCTGGAAATGAGGGGTTCTCGAAATGATTGGTTTCCTTTTGGCTACCGTTTAAAACCATTCAAAAGAAAAGGGGCTTCCCGAAAAGTGACACCCAGTCGAGGTCCAGAACTACAAGCGACAAGAGGGCTTGGCCCTGGCGGGCACGGCCCAGTGCAGCTTCAATGTCCTGGAGGCATTGTGATCCAACAACGCCTTTTCAGGGTCAGCGGGGTAGGTTCATTCGGGCGCGATGCCAATGTCTCAAGTGAAGCAGCAGTCGCCAGCATGCAGTTGCTTGTTGAACATGTATCCTAGGATTGTTGCCAGGTGACCCTGACCATTTACCCTCGTAGGGTTGTTTCCTCAATTTACTCAGAACTGCCCGGTACTCATTGAACAATTATTATTATTATTATTATTACCATTATTATTATTGTTATTCGTATTGTTATTAATATTATTATTATTTTTACTATTATCATTATTATTATTATTGTTATTCTTATTACTATTATTATTATTAATATGATTATTGTTATTACCACTGTGCACCACTATGGCGTACACCGCATTGAGCTTGTAGTTTCTATGACTGGAGCGCTTTACGAACCTGGCTAGCAAAACAATAAACTACCAGCAATTAGCTGGCACAAGGTGTCCTCAGGCAAACAAATTGAAACGCCAAACATGACAGGCCCTTGTAAATCATTCATTTCCTCTTGCAAACAGCAAAGCGTTTGCTTGGAGTTCATGCGCAACAGCAGTTGAATGTGGACGACCAAAATGCAGAAATGACATATTTGGACGGCAGGCCTTTGTGAGCGCTGTTGGTATGGGTGACGACATCAACGCCATCATCCGAACCTGCCCGTCACCACGCGACGGCGAGTCTGAGCTTGCTTGCCAGGCGTGGTTTCAAAGGGGTCGGTGTGTTTCCACGCGTATTAGCTGATGCGTCTCTAGCCGTGTTTTGATGGAGGCCGTGCTGCCAAAGTTTTCAGGCCGCGAGACCCGAGTGACATCGCTGGGATGCTATGCTCGACGGAACAGAAGCCTTTGCTTTTGTGTGTCTAGCTTGTCAAAAGGTACATCAAGTTCTTGGCGGTTCCCAACCGTCCCCTTAGGTTTGTAGGTTTGTAGGGTTTGGCTGGGTTTTTCATAGAGCCCACACAATTTTTTAGACTTGTAGCAGATCTGAAAACGCACCGCCCAGAGTTGGTTTGTTCCTTTGAGCCTTTCGAGATCCACGCGTTGCCATAGAAGGGGTCCAGATGTTCACTCGCTTGGCTTGAGGTTTTGAGTGAGTGTAATGACTATGGGGTCGATTCCCCTCTTCGCTGGCTGGGAGAGTTACAATGGCTGTCAAATCTTTGATTTCTGTTTGGTTTTAGAAGCTCACACAAATATGGTCAGCATTTGTAGTGAGGAACCCTTCGGTGGATATGTAGGGATTCATGCACAAACCACTTGTGAGTCATGTGAGGTTGTTAAGAGTCGCATGTTTGCAACGTGAAAGGAGGGCGCTCCCAAACAGTGTCCATGGTTTATGGTTCCGCGATGTTTCGAGCATTGATGTTCTGCTCCGGAGGCAAATTTGGTCACGTATTGGAAGGACATCTTGCGTTTGCCGCTTTGCATAAATGATGCTTCGATGTAAAGACATGTGAAGCACATGTGTTTGCTGTTCTGTGTTTGGGTCTTGAACGGAGTAAAGATGCAGCATGGAGTATCCCTCGGGATGCCTCCGATCCGTTGATCGGATGGCCCGAAGCTCGTCAGTTGACCAGCAGTTGCTGACACGCCAGAGTTGCACCAGGAAAAAGGCATTATTTTTGGATCTTTGGATCTTTGGACTTTGGATCTTTGGACTATTTGGTTGGATCTTTGGACTTCAACTTTTTGGTCGAAACTTTGTGGATTTTCCGAATTGGACCCACAAGAAGTTAAACAGCAACCAAGATGGTAGATCGCATGTTCAACTGGGTCTCCGCTGAAACGGCTCTGTGTAGCCCCAATTTCGCTCGCCGATGCCTCCGTCCCTTAGCTCGCAAGAAAGATCCCTCACAGTTTCCTGATCTATGGGTTAGCTCTAAATAGGTAGAGTCTTTCAAACTGGTGGTTTCCGCTTTGGTTTTCCTTTACACCAACCGAAAAAGGAGATCCCTTGAAAAGCGACACACCGCTTCCCTGACCCAGAGGTGAACGGTGGTATCCTGGGAGCATGGGTGGGAAACCTTGCCACCAAGCTCTCCCTGGCCGCCTCTTACTGCGCCTCCAGCATCAATGTGGATGCCATTTGCTCGGCGGGTGTGAACGGCTTGGTGTCAGTTATGGGCGAGCTGGCGGCAACTGCATCCCTGGCGGCTGCGACGTGCACAGGCACTCCCCCACAGCTGACGACCACTCAGATCAGCGTGCTGGGCGACCAGACTGTGCGGGGCCGACGACTGCTCATCGGCGAAGGTCCTGTGGGCAACGGCATTCAGTGCGGGGTCGATGTGGGCATGGTGGCTGCCAACATTGCCAACATGGGTCTTGCAATCAACTCTGCTGTGAACTCGGGCAATTGCAACTGGCAGTCCCTGCACTCGCCCCTGAACAAGCTGAAGGGCATCCCCGAAGCTCTGTGCACTGTGGACATTGGCGGGGCTGTCGCCTACATTGGTCAGGTGGTCACCTTCATCAACCTGATTGTCGTTCACTGCCAGGACAGCTAAAGAGAGGGGATGGGAGGGGGGAACTGCCGGACTAGTCAGCTACCCCTTGCACAGTGCAACAAGAGGCATTTGCCAATCATTCAGCGTTCGCAGTGGACCGATAATGTGGTGTGTCACGCAATTTCGAGGCATGAGCGCATAGGCGCATTGCAATTGCGTGTGAGGACTTGCTGGATGTGAATGCCCTGTGCGCCGGCTCGATCGCTGGCATCACCACCTCGGCAGCGGCGGTGGCCCCGTATGGTGCCGCAGTGCATGCGGCCTGCCGCTACAACGCGCTCACCAAGAACGGCGCAGCCCAGGCAAACGGCATGCAAATGACGCATTCTTGCCCTCGAACCGAGTTTGATACCGGATTGGGAGTGAGCTAGCCCAGAACCCTGCGTCAGAGAAATGGGAGTGTTCTTCATTGTTGCCTTGTGGCGGGACCTGGCGTGACCGGTGACGGCTGTACCTTGCAGGCGAAGATCAACAGCCTCTATGACGTGCCGGACAGGCCCCGCCGTCTCGACGAGATGCAGAAGCCCATCGAGGCAGGTTAAGTTATGCTTTTCGTACTTCTTGTCACTCATGTTGCCAACGATGTCGTGCCAACTTGTGTCTTCTGCAGGAGGCCATGGCCAACCTCAAGGAGATCCGCAAGAATCTGGAGGCCTATGGGGTGAACCGCACCCAGACGGTGAACACCCAGGCGGACATGGAGAAGCTCTTGCACCTCATGGGACGCGAGAAGGAGACTCTGGAGGAATGCTGAGAGCAGCTGCCTGTGACGCCGCTATAATTAGAAATTGCATTGACAAGCAAGCGGACCCAGCAAAGCGCAAGGGACGCTGACCCGGGGGCTTCTGACCGTCTACGCAGGGCCGCATACGGCGCCCTTTCCAGCTCTGCTAGCTTTCTTACGTTCCTGTAGAATGTGTCCGTGTGGCTAGCAGAGCGGCCGCCCCTTCAAGTTTTGCAATCTCTTGTTCTCTTCGATTGAGTTTTCCCACTCTTGCGATTCAAGGAGATCCGCAAGAATCTGGAGGCCTATGGGGTGAACCGCACCCAGACGGTGAACACCCAGGCGGACATGGAGAAGCTCTTGCACCTCATGGGACGCGAGAAGGAGACTCTGGAGGAATGCTGAGAGCAGCTGCCTTTGACGCCGCTATAATTAGACATTGCATTGAAAAGGTCGGCGGACCCAGCAAAGCGCAAGGGACGCTGACCCGGGGGCTTCTGACCGTCTACGCAGGGCCGCATACGGCGCCCTTTCCAGCTTTGCTAGCTTTCGTACGTTCCTGTAGTGTGTCCGTGTGGCTAGCAGAGCGGCCGCCCCTTCAAGTTTTGTACTTCTCTTGCTCTCTTCGATTGAGTTTCCCACTCTTGCGATTTCCCTACAAGAGGGGCCTGAAGCTGGCAAACCTGCCACACCTGGCCAGGGAAACACTTGCAGCGCGATCAAGCCAGCTTTTTGTCTTCACAGTGAGGCCAGACTTGAAGCAACTCATGAAGATAAGCTTGAGTTCTTGCGACAAGCAGCGTGCTACTGTTGTCTACCGCGGTGTGTGGTGTGTGGTTGCAGCTGTTTAGTGCATCAGGGTAACATGCTTCGCGTGCTAAGCCCAGCAGCCTTATCATGATAACATGTGTTGAGGCATGGCTTGTGTGGATGTACTTCACATGAATCAGCCACCGCGTTGCTAAGTGCCTGTTGTGCGCCTGCATGTTCGATGCTGGACAGTGCGAGCACCGACTTGGCCAGGCTCAAAGATCGTGCCGAGGATTAGCTCGATCAGCCCAACCTTTCGACCCTTGCGATCCTTTCGGCCCTTGCCATGTCCCTCGACTTCGCAGCGGTGGAAGCCGGCAGCTCTTCGGATCATGAGATCATACGCCCCAGCGTGCCTCGTGTGAAGAAGGTCGCTGCCGGTGCTGCTGTGTTTGCAGCAGTTGCGGCGCTCACAGCCCTTGCGTCCATGCATTCTCCGCGGAAGTGCACCAACTTGGGAGCGCTGCAAGGCAAGGTCGAGGTGGATGTGAATGAGGCCATGCTGGCAAACAGCAAGGAGCTCACGGCTGTAAAGGACCAATCCAAGGCAGACGAAATCGTGCTCGGTGCCATGAAGAAGGGTGGCTTGCTCTTGATTCTTGTTGGGTTTCGCGCATGGTCGACTTGGCATGTCTTGTTCATGCGTAGATGTGTACCTGCTTCTAGTTTCTGCACGTGTTCCGAGTTCCGAGTTTCTGCCATTTGTCACGGTTTGGGCTGTGCTGAGATGGTGGATGGTGAATGTGCTGGCTGAGGTGGCAAGGAGGCAGAGGAGCATTGGGAGAAGCATCACATCCGCAAGCTGGACACCTATGGCACCGTCAAAGCAGCCACTTGGCCTGCGCTTGTTGCTGCTCAGATTAAGGTTCGACCAATGTGGTACTGGGTGCTTTGAGCTAATGTAGGGTTTCAGATGGGCTAAACCTTTGTTCTCTCAGGGGGTCAACGTTCGCCAGGGTATTCAGAGGAACTGCTTGCGAGCGACCGCAGCTCCAGTAGCCAGTATATGCCTTTCTGGTTTACAACTATAAGTTGTGATAGGGTTGGTGTAGCGACCTCGATTGGAGGAGAGTACCTGGTCGTGCTTGGAATGTCGACATCGTGCCTGTTGCCCATGTCAAATTGGAGTTCGGGATGATCTTGGGGCACGGCATCGCAAACTGCCTTGATGCCATTGAAGCTTGTGGCGGGGTAAGCCAATCCGGGAGTTCAATGACAGACAAATCCCAGATGGCAAGGAGGGCACTACGTGGTTCGTGTTTTGTGGTGTGCCACTCGGGCAATGTGATGCAGTGGATAGTGGATTGTGTTGGATTCATCCTTTCTTTCACTTTATCTTGAAGCTGCACATGTGTTACAGGGCGGAAAGTCCAAGAGAGACCCATATTTTCAGTCACAGCCTGTCAGTGGAAGCTGGGTTTGCAAACCAACCAAAAGGGATTCCCAACCAAAGACACACTCAGTTGTCCAGGTCCAGAACTACAAGCGACAAGAGGGCTTGGCCCTGGCGGGCACGGCCCAGTGCAGCTTCAACGTTCTGGAGGCAAAGTTGCTGGACGGAGGTCAAGGGTTGGGCTGGTTGGGACTTGTTGATTCCGGTCAAAGGGCAATCAAAGAACACTGCCAAACATGGGCCCTGAAAGGGTTTGGTGTCCTTTAATTGGTTTGGGTCACCCTTTGGTTCGGAAATTCCAGCCCGGTCGAGGCGGTCAAAGCGTCTAGGGCTTGAGCCGCTGGATGTTGGAAGGCGGTTTCATGCGACCCGGGTGCACTTTCGGCCCATATCTGAAGTGTTTCTTTGTCTCCCCCAGCGAGAGGAACAGTTTGGTGGCATTCGAGAGTCCTTTAGAGTCTGGCCACATTCTACGGGGCGACCTCAACGCCACATCCTGGGAACTGCGGGGAGTCTGTAACTACCCTAAACGTGGGTGCTGTTTAGACTCGCTAGAGGTTGCTCAGGGCTTTGCTTTAGCTCGTTTCGGGGTCAGGGCAACCCCTTGATGCATAGACGCAACGCAAGTTGATTTGGTGTGCCATGCGGCGGCTTGGGTGCAAGGCACGTTTGGATACGAAACTTCAGCAACCTATCGGCTGACCGTTCGTCCAGCAGCTGTTGACATTGAAGTCAACAGCCCTTAGCTTCCAGTTTGAAGGGCTGCTTTTTGTTTCGGTTGGATTCAATTTCTTGCAAGTTGCTCCTAGGAATAACAACCGCGGTTCAGAAATGACGTTTGATCGGCAGGCTTTTGTGAGCGCCGTTGGCATGGGTGATGACATCAACGCCATCATCCGAACCTGCCCATCACCGCGTGACGGCGAGTCTGAGCTTGCTTGCCAGGTGAACGGTGGTATCCTGGGAGCGTGGGTGGGAAACCTTGCCACCAAGCTCTCCCTGGCCGCCTCTTATTGCGCCTCCAGCATCAATGTGGATGCCATTTGCTCTGCGGGTGTGAACGGCTTGGTGTCAGTTATGGGCGAGCTGGCGGCAACTGCATCCCTGGCGGCTGCCACGTGCACAGGCACTCCCCCGCAGCTGACGACCACTCAGATCAGCGTGCTGGGCGACCAGACTGTGCGGGGCCGACGACTGCTCATCGGCGAAGGTCCTGTGGGCAACGGCATTCAGTGCGGGGTTGCTGTGGGCATGGTGGCTGCCAAACATTGCCAACATGGGTTTGCAATCATCTCTGCCGTGTGAACTTCGGGCAACTCTGCAACTGGCGAGTACCTGCAACTCGCCCCTGAACAAGCTGAAGGGCATCCCCGAGCTTGTAACTCTGCCGGACTGTGGACATTGGGCGCGGATTCACTTTGATGATTTGGTTCATGGTGGTCACCTTCATCAATCTGATTGGTCGTTTCACTGCCAGGACAGCCTTAAAGAGAAGGGGACGGGACGGGGAGAACTGCCGGACTGGTCAGCTTACCCCTTGCACAGTGCAACAAGAGGCATTTGCCAATCATTCAGCGTTCGCAGTGGACCGATAATGTGGTGTGTCACGCAATTTCGAGGCATGAGCGCATAGGCGCATAGCAATTGCGTGTGAGGACTTGCTGGATGTGAATGCCCTGTGCGCCGGCTCGATCGCTGGCATCACCACCTCGGCAGCGGCGGTGGCCCCGTATGGTGCCCGCAGTGCATGACGGCTGCGCTACAACGCGCTCACCTAAGATGGCGCCGCCCAGGAAAACGGATTGCAAATGACGCTCTCTCTTGCCCTTCGATACTGGTTTTTTTGATACCGGGATTGGGGAGTGCAGCTAGCCCAGAACCCTGCTGTCAGAGAAATGGGGAGTGTTTCTTCCATGTTGCCTGTGGGCGGGACCTGGCGTGAACGGTGATGGCTGTACCTTGCAGGCGAAGATCAACAGCCTCTATGACGTGCCGGACAGGCCCCGCCGTCTCGACGAGATGCAGAAGCCCATCGAGGCAGGTTAAGTTATGCTTTTCGTACTTCTTGTCACTCATGTTGCCAACGATGTCGTGCCAACTTGTGTCTTCTGCAGGAGGCCATGGCCAACCTCAAGGAGATCCGCAAGAATCTGGAGGCCTATGGGGTGAACCGCACCCAGACGGTGAACACCCAGGCGGACATGGAGAAGCTCTTGCACCTCATGGGACGCGAGAAGCAGACTCTGGAGGAATGCTGAGAGCAGCTGCCTGTGACGCCGCTATAATTAGAAATTGCATTGAAAAGCCGGCGGACCCAGCAAAGCGCAAGGGACGCTGACCCAGGGGCTTCTGACCGTTTACGCAGGGCTGCATACGGCGCCCTTTCCAGCTCTGCTAGCTTTCGTACGTTCCTGTAGAATGTGTCCGTGTGGCTAGCAGAGCGGCCGCCCCTTCAAGTTTTGTACTTTTCTTGCTCTCTTCGATTGAGTTTTCCCACTCTTGCGATTTCCCTACAAGAGGGGCCTGAAGCTGGCGAACCGGCCATACCTGGCCCAGGGAAACACGTGCACCGCGACCAAGCCAGCTTTTTGTCTTCACAGTGAGGCCAGACTTGAAGCAACTCATGAAGATAAGCTTGAGTTCTTGCGACAAGCAGCGTGCTACTGTTGTCTACCGCGGTGTGTGGTGTGTGGTTGCAGCTGTTTAGTGCATCAGGGTAACATGCTTCGCGTTTTAATTTGCCCGTATTTGCCACTAGGAAACGCAAGGTGTGGCAGGCTAAGCCCAGCAGCCTTATCATGATAATATGTGTTGAGGCATGGCTTGTGTGGATGTACTTCACATGAATCAGCCACCGCGTTGCTAAGTGCCTGTTGTGCGCCTGCATGTTCGATGCTGGACAATGCCAGCACCGACTTGGCCCGGCTCAAAGATCCGTGCCGAGGATCAGCTCGATCAGCCCAGCCTTTCGATCCTTGCGATCCTTTCGGCCCTTGCCATGTCCCTGGACTTCGCAGCGGTGGAAGCCGGCAGCTCTTCGGATCATGAGATCATACGCCCCAGCGTGCCTCGTGTGAAGAAGGTCGCTGCCGGTGCTGCTGTTTTTGCAGCAGTTGCGGCGCTCACAGCCCTTGCGTCCATGCATTCTCCGCGGAAGTGCACCAACTTGGGAGCGCTGCAAGGCAAGGTCGAGGTGAATGTGAATGAGGCCATGCTGGCAAACAGCAAGGAGCTCACGGCTGTAAAGGACCAATCCAAGGCAGACGAAATCGTGCTCGGTGCCATGAAGAAGGGTGGCTTGCTCTTGATTCTTGTTGGGTTTCGCGC